AAAGCTCTACTAGTTTCGAACCACAAAGGGGTTCTTCCTCAGGAGCAGCGTGCGCGGTCGCGGCGATGTCGCGCACTCGTGATTTTTAATTAATTTAGTATATCTCACGATAGTTATTATAAAAACAAACTAGTTTTTCGAGGCTTTTCCATTTCGTTTTGATATATAACAATTGAAATAGAAATAAGTGAGCTAAGTTACCAATTTTACAAATTTAATAAGAAACGATTCCACAAATGATGTCATTTGAAATATAAAATGTAGATCCGCTGCCGCATCGTTCTAGAAAATGTGGAATGCTATTTGATATTGGTTATTTCACGAGCTAAGCTGTGCGGTAGATGCTTACTCAGGGAAATCAGAGTGAGTATTTGATGAAGTTTCCTTTCTGTATAAATCCCATACTACGTTTAACATTTTATAACTAACAATATTCCATGTCATTTTCCGCTCCCTTGATTACCTCGTTGGTCGAGTGCTCGCATGCGTGACTGTCGAGTTAGGGTTTTCGGTTTCGTTTTCCGGTGTTTAGGAAAATATTTTGGAGATTTTCTTTTTAGTCATCGAAAATGAGTCCGTGTATGGAATTGTATCCAGTTGATTTCTATTGCCTTCACCTCAAAGTTATGTTATATGAAACTTATAACTGACATGAAGCTGATGGAATACTTGATGTGTGCTTATCCTTTCGGGACATAAAAGATAAGAAAGCTATGCAATTTTCCGCTTCCTCAAAACCATATTATTAAATCGTTATCGTTAATTTCAGTTTACTAGAAAGTAAACTGAAATTAGAAGATTTCCTCTCTAGTTTAACGTTCAAATACCAAAACATTGGGGTAGAAAATTAGATTTCCATATCAATATGTGAGTAGACAAAGTTGTGTAGGATGTTTATGTCAGCGGAAAATTGGCAATGATCGAATATCGAGACGTCTGAAGATAACCTGTCAACGGGACGACGGCATGATGACAGCAAAAGATTGAATATAATGGGCCTCTCTATAGTTATGATTACGTAACCTACGTTACGTAAAATTTTTCTGTATTTATATTTTTGTGAATGGCAGATTTTTCGATATTTTTCATGTTAATATCGTAGCTTCCAGGAAAACAGAAAAAGCTTGTATATTCATACATGGATAATTCAGATGTAAAATTAAAGTTTTATTCATAACTAGAGTGCACATTGGAAAAAAAACAGTGATTCCGACTAAAATGAACATTACCCATAAAAATACGTACAACTATAAAACAAAAAGTTACGCCCATAAAACTCCAATTTATACTTTTTCTGAGAATTGAATCCAGTGAGAATTAGCGGTGAGTGCGGCAATAATTTTTCATGTAAAATAATTTATCGTATCTGGTTTTTGTCCGTAGAAAATTGTAATAAGTATCTAAGTAAGTAATTGATAATTATTGTAATTATAATAATATATTTTCCTCCCATTTTCCTACTAGGAATGTTTAACTTATTGTTTCCTTATAATATCGTTACGGACGTTCTTTCTTCGTTCTTATTATGAAGGAACTGCTATTGTGGTTCTAAAAATAAATTAGAACATTTTTCCTATCGAAAACTTTATATTTTCTTATAAATTGTGGTGTTTCTGGTGAGCAAACAGATCACAAAAAGGTGTGCAAATATCCAGTTTCTGTTGACTTGACTAAACCTGTTTTCGTCTACACTTAAACCCAATAGGTACCTAACCATAGTAAACACGAGTGCGGAATCATACAAAAAAGCCCTGAGAGTACTCTGTCATCGTATTCAGTAGTAAACGAACCTTACCAGTCCATTTAAGAAGGCAAACTCCCCACGAAAGTTATCGTCTGTGTCAATTACTACCAGCCACACAACAGCTAAAATACCTACTTTAATTAACATGATCGACTCCCGCGACTGTGAAGCCAGTAAAGTAATTTGTTCTCGTACATTACCCTCGGTTTTACGGCCTATCGTTACAAGGAGTCACAAATTAACTTAGTATGAAGTTTCCAACTCCCGTAAACGAAGTTATAGGAGACAGACTAAGAATATTGACAATCCTTGTGTGTTAAAGATGTTCAAACAAGGAAGTATCATGCTAATTTTCTCACAAATCAGAAATAAATTAAACATTTTTCCTTGACGCTCTATGTTACCTTATTGTTCTGAGAAATTGTTATTACATTCTAAATCTTTTCATTCTTTGGTACGGTTTCGTTTTCTGGGAAGTAAATTAACTACAACCACACACTTACTTTTTATTTATCTTCAAAAATGACTTGGTCTACCATAAAGACTTTTGTTCCCTAAACGTATGAGCAGGTTCAAAATGAGTGATGGTATGATGCATGAACTAAGAAGCTGGTGCTCAACGAAACGCCTGTATCTACATCTTTACGGGTGGCGATTACCGTCATAACGTACTTTTATATGAGCCAAGTTTCATTTCGAAGTCGGCTGTTCCGTACCGATATGGCCCGGTTAAAGTTCTGACGTGTCGTAAACGAAGCTATTACACTGTGACAAATGAATGTGAATGAAACGTTATGATGACAGTAATTCGTTCAAGTTTTTGAATTAAGCAGGTGGGCCGCTTCCACGTTTTAGATTTGCATGTTAAACATTTCAGGAGTTGCATGTAGGCATTGGACTAGTATGCATTAAAACTTAGCCATTACTTCATTTTTATATAATTCTATATATGTACATATCAAATTATAATCAGCATTCTTGAGTGTACAAGTACACTGTATAAGTACACTCAAGAAAGCTGAAACTATTATACAATTTTTTTCTATAACCCGCCTCGTGCCCTCTTACGATCACTCGATCACTGACGCGACATTGAGAGTGTTGAAAAATACAAAATAAATATTCTCAACCCACAAAAGGTAACGAAATGGTATATTAAAATGATAACAATAAACAAATAGCAAAAGTACTTTTTCTGAATACATCAAAATGAAATCTTTCCCCGTATTTCCTTGTTGAGCAGCCATATAATTTATTGTCAATCATTTTGACAAATCTTTGACGCTGAATCTGGCACTCCAATTACGTCGTACATTTCTTTATCGTCGTTCATCGTGCATCACAAGAATGGTGAGTATCATTCTTGTAATTGTTTTTTTTACTGTTTGGGTATGACTTTTCAAAGTCTTCTATACATATAATAAAACTGTAGGAGTGTTAGTTCTGTACATTGAAAATATTAAAACATAAATAGTAGGGGGTATTACTAGATAGACACCGAACCTAAAAATGTGATTATAAACTTTTTTGTCTGTCTGTCTATATGTTCACGCATCACGCAATAGCTACTGGTCTGATTACGATGAAACTTGGTATGTTTATACTTTGTTTTGGGCACAACATTGAGTACATTTTATCCCGAAAAGTATATACACGAAAAACAAACTTAATTGTGCAACTCAATCCCTAGACACAGTTACTGTACCAAATGCAAATATAAGTTTGGCGAATGTTAGGTTTTTAGGATTAGGATTTTACGCTGTAACTGTAGGGCTGATGGTTGAAAACAGCGTGAACATATATTAAAAATGTGAATTTGTGTGTATGTTTGTTACTCAGTCACATCAAAACGGCTGAAGGGACGGTTTGAAGTAATACATAGGTTACTTTTTACTCCTAAGAACAGGGGCGAAGCCGTTGACAGAAGCTATTTAAGAATAAAAAGGGATGAAATTAAGGTTAGACAACATACATAGGTATTTCTTTTTAGTTTAATTGAAAACAGTGTGGTATTTGGGTTACCTTTAACGTTACTTGTTGAGTGTTAGTAAAATAATTTTACGGATTAGAGAAGAAAGGCAGGCATCGTAGATATAATGACATCAAACCGAATTCATCAATAAATAAAACAGATATTATTTCTCTCAGAAATAAACTTACATTAATAATATTATAAAGAGTGCCTCGAGACTGACTCGTTGGCCGACTGGTCGCAAGTGTGACTGCCGGACAAGGGATTTGGGTACGATTCCCGGGTCGGGCAAAGTATTAGTAGGTTTTTAAAGAAATCTCAGTAGTAGCACGGAGTTTGGATTGTGGAACTGAATGTGCCCGGTATATGGCAATAAGATCACCCCCTATTACATGGGACTTATAACATAAATAGTGAAAAGTGGGTGTTACTTCTGTGTGCACCTCTGCCTACACCTTCGGGGAAAAAAGGCGTGATATTATGTTATATTATGTTATTATAAAGAGTTAATTTGCATCTAAAAAGCATAACGGCAAATTCTAACTTATTATAATAATTGCAGTGCCTTTACTAAGTTTCTAATTAAAATTTTTCGCTGTGTTATGACAGTTCTCCGGTCAGGACTTAGTTACAATGGAAACGCTTTATTTAAATTCCAATTATTTAATTAATTAACAGAAAACGGAACATTAAAATTAAGAGTAAAGCCAACTTTATAATGTAGAAACATTGTCGTCGCAGAAAGGTAAAACGCCGTTTTTTTTTAAATCTCCAATTGAAATATGTCTTTCGCTAAAGGATGATGCAAACATGTATGGTATGGGAAATGTACCCACCGACCAATAACTATCAGACGTAGTCGTTAGAAAGTTCTTTTCATAACTATCATTTGCCATTCTGGCGCTCGTCTCATTTTGTTGTGGGGAAAATGATTGTTATGGTTACTTAACTCGTCGAGTACCGATATTGTAGACACAATTATAGAACAATAGGTTGCGGTCACCGGTGACCGCTTGGTGTTTGACAGTTTAAATGATATCTATTAAACAACGGACAATGCGTACCAAATGTATGGAGTCTGGGCCAACACCTCGATAGTAACTTGTTATACACCTTTGAACTGAATTAGAAAAGGCAAGAATTGTAAAAATTGAGCGGGGCATAAGCATATACCACTTCATGTTATCACGGAAAATATGTAAAGATAACAAAATATATAACTTATCCCTATTCCTAAAATAAAAGATCTTGAAATCGGTTTTTAAGCATATTCTCTATTGCCAGGCACGTATTAAGTGATGGGAGATTAGTGGTGGGCGCAAGAAGATCATTAATGGATGCGGGTAGTGGCGCCGGAGCCATGTTGCGGTGCAGAGCATCGAACAGGGCAGGCACTGTGCTATCCAGGCCGGTGATGCTACAACCAGGTGAGTTTCTTAATTTAATCATTTTCTTTTAGCATAAAAAGGAATTATGATAGAGTTTATTTACAACAGACTAATAATACGATTAATTAAAGTACTGGGCTTACTGTCCGAACTGTTCGATAAGGATACTCAACCAATTTCAAGTCATTCCAGGAGCCCATAGTGGCGATCGCCGTCATAGCGCGAGTCGCGCGTGGAGACAGTCATAGTCAAAGGTTTCTGTAGTATTTAAAAAATGAGTTTATTAACTATATCATTTACTAAAAAAAACATGAAAACATTATAGCATTACATTTTAAAACCGCAAAATTATTCGTAAACAAATTATTGTACATAGTTAAAATGTTCCACGGATTCAGAAGCATTCAAATAATAAATTGGAGTCCCACGTACAGATTGGAACTGATTACAGAATCCTTTCGTAACCTTGGGTTTCTTTATTACCATAATTATAACACGAAATTAACCAGTTTCAAACATGGGTGGCTTATTCAAACAGTGAGATTTATTCGAGGGTTCGACCTCGAACTGCAAAATTAGTGATGAATAAATAATATCGAATTAATTTATTAATGTCTAACTTTTACCTAGTTGTGTTGGTTGAAGAATTGATTGTAAATGATGGTTTTAATTAAAAAAAAATGATTGTTACTATTCAATAACAATATTTGGAACCGGTACCTACTGTAATGTAGGAGTCTAACTGCACGGTTGGCGCGGTGGCTGGGCAACTGGCTGCCGCGCAACGTGTCGTGGGTTGGATTCCCGCACGGAAAAATTCTCTGTGTGATCCACAAATTGTTGTTCCCGGTCTGGGTGTCATGTGTATGTGAACTTGTATGTTTGTAAACGCACCCACGACATGAAGAAAATCCTTGTGTAGGGCAATAAAAACAAGTTTGGAACCGTACCTAAAACATTATTACATCACTGTATTCAAATTGGGAATTTGTTTCGATAATAATTGCAATTACAAGTACTGGACTAACGAGTGTTTTCAGTTGGAATTACGTTTCGTTATGGCTTTCACGTAGACAACTTCATAATAGTTTATACCTCAATTAAGGCTAGTCGTAAAGGAAAATTATAAAAACTGTAAACAACAGACTTGCGTAATAAACAGATGTACGGCAAGAGGGCAAAACAAATTACAACTTCGAGTCGAGTTGGACCAATTAACTTTCCGTTACAGCGAGGGAAATATGAAATAAAATGAAAAACAGCCCACGGCTCCCGACTTTTTTTACACGGAAAACTTTTAATTAAGGGATTAAAAATGACATTAGAGTGAGTTCGCAGCAACGTAACTTTCCCTTTGTTTCCTGAATACCCGCAAGGAAGCATGGACGCTCCTAAAATTACAATTAGATAAATAAATAAGCATCCTGTAGGTACTGCCTTAATTCTCTATTAAGCCTTGTTAAAATCTCACCTCCCCAGAGGACAGGAAAGAAAAATAATCTTCAAACTTAGTTTCGTAACATTCATTAAGAATGTTGGGAAGTTAGAAGCATTTCCCAGGGACATTAGAAAGAAAAGTGGGTTATTTATCAACAAATTTAATTAAGTATTAGTAATTACCTCTTTATTTATATTAACTTTCGTCAGTATTTATGTTCAAGATAAAAGTTCATTATTAAAAAGAAGTCACATTTTTGTGGTTCTATTTTAGTTCTTATTTAAAATGAACGATAAATGAGCGTGTAATCGGAATAGGGCTGATGTAACTGCTATTCTGAAATATACATAGAAAGGACAAGTTATCATTTCAAAGTAAAGTCTCAAACTTATAACTTATAGAGTGAACAATCCGTAGCCTGTGGTTTATACTGAGAACGTATAATATTAATTACAGCATTGTAAATTAATGCTAAGATACCACGAAACTATTTTACTTAGTTATTACTACTCAAATCTTAAAGTACAGTTTATTTAATGGAACTAGGTCGAGCGAACTTCTATCTAGTGTACCTATCAATCTGACTACACTATTCATCATAACATTTACTTGCTTCCAGACCTTAATATATTTGGAAAGATGAATATTTTTCACTCCAATTACTTTTCCACTGAGGGACGAGGAAAGTTTTAATTAAAGATTGAGCGACATTATGTCCCTCATCTCGGAAAAATAACCTTGTTATAACGAAGCCGACGGTCTGTTATTGAAAATAATTTTGTTTCTGTACCTACGCCTAGCCTTAATACTTTATGTACAGACTGTAAGTACAAGTGAAGCGTAATTTGGTAAAATACATTTTTGTTTGAAGTATCAGCTTTGTACACAAGGGATGTTCTATTGTTCAATTTGTTATTATGTTTCCCTACATGATCGATGTATGTTCGGCAGTATAATGAACAAAATTCGATCAGTCGTTTTTGTTTCTCGTCATATTTAAAAGCACATTAATCAATTGCGACTGTCAGTTAAGACAAGTCGGCAAACAAATGCTGGAGTGAGCTCGTTAACTCGATGAACTTCGTTACGGATCCCGATACAATACAAAACCAGTGGAGTTAATGTCGAACAAGCAAGCCACGTTAACGAGTTACCGTCTACCGTAAGTGGTAGTAAGAACATCTCTTTCAAACTCATGAACTGGCTCTCAAGTTACAGATTTTACTTACCATATTTTAATATTTTCCCCTACAATGAAGCTAGCTACAAAGGGAAAATTGAAAGGCAACAAATAGGGGCACAGAAGACGCTTATTCTCATTCAAATGAGTTTCGAAGAAAGTATTCGACACTTTGATATTGTGATATTTACTTAGCTACCTCGTTTCAATTTTGTATTGTTTTTCATTTCAGTGATAAGCATTCTTTAAATAGCTACGAAAGATTTCGCGTCCTGATTTTTTACTATCTAAGTTTTATTTATTTTTGTGAACTAATTATTGCGCTACATTTGTACCGATCACCACCCTGAGAGAACGGTTATAATTGTTTTGGTCTAAACACTTACTGTTGAATATTGTTTAATAATTCAATTTATTTCTGGTTGAATACAAAAAGAAGACATAAAAGCATTACACAAAAGGCGAAACTTAAATATAGCTTGAAATTGACGGAGTCAAACCTAAGATGGCTTCACAAACAAAGCCATGTCGGACGCAATTATTCCTTTATTTATTATTCCATCTCATTTTTGTTTCGTTATTTCTTTTGACAAGTTATGAAAGTCTCAAGTTACGCATTATTAAAATGAATGGGAACTTTTATAATGCTTTCAAAGCAAATTAAATGAAATGTTCTATTATATGAATTCGTTGCTACATAACGAGTATGCAACACATTAATACTGCGAGACGTTACAATTAAAAATGTTGCTGTTTCATTTCTGTGTGATTTAAAGCAAAGCCTGAACTGGACATAAATAAAAGAATATTTTTAATATTCCAAATGTAAAAGTATTGTGAAGGCTAGGTCTGTTTTGTGTACATTCCTTTACTACGTCCGAGTTACAAAGTTTTGTAGAAGCAAGTATATTTCGGTATACAGAATTTTGTTTGGACAATGTTTTGTAAAGAGGCACAATTATTTTATTTTTCTGAAACACAAACTTTGCCACTTTGCGTTGTAAACATCGGGGAGTACTTGAATGAGATAAGTTGGTTTGGAATGAAAATTGATGATATTATCTTTTTGTTATTATTTCTTTGCGTAGTGGAGGACAACGTTTTATCGCATACCGCTCGTCAGCTGATACCGGCTAAAATTGGTGGTGCCGTGGTACTGAGGTGTGAACTGTCTCCACAAGTTGGTTTAGTGGACATCACGTGGCTGCAGGATGGTCTACCGTTATCATCAGGATATTTGAGTGGCGGTAAGAAAAAAAGTCTATATTGGTGTTAGCTAAAATAGCTATAAATATAATAGCCAGTCATAATATTATTCGTTGGTACCTATTTTCTAGTGAAATAGAAAGCCAGGTTTACGAGTTATGAATAAACAATCTAAAAGATCTGTTTTATTTTAGAACCTCGTTGGGTATCTGGAGCTAGTGGCCTTCTACTCGGTCTAGATCTGACTCAGGCGGACATTCAGGCAGAATATTCATGCGTGGCTCTCGACACTCCCAGCCCGCCTTTGAAGCTCACTACTGACGGTCAGTCTAATAAAGCTTTATGCATTTAGAATGTCTTGAAATTTAGTCTACAGAAATTGGTGAGACTGAGTGTACTAGCCAAAGACGTACGACTTAAGTTAGTAATGTAACAGAGAGATGTTTTTGTCTTATTTGAGAGTAACTTTAATTTTTTTTTTTAATTTGAAATACTTTATCTTTTATATAAACTCTATTTGTACTCGAAAATTTAAAAATATTTTTTTTGGTTCGTGTAGATAGTAGCTGGTTGGAAAATATAGAATTAAATTCAGTGGAGGCTCGTGCTGGAGATACGATTGTACTACCGTGTATACTGCGACATGTCAGCGGCCATACTGTAAGGTAAATCGTACTTTTAATTATTCTCACATTTTACATAACATAACATACGCCTTTTATCCACGGAAGGGTAGGCAGAGGTGCACATAACGGCACTTAATGCCACTGTACAAAGTACAATGTAACACCCACTTTTCACTAATTATGTTTTGAGTCCCATGTAATAGAGGATGAGCCAATTGCCATAAACCGGGCACAATTCTAGACTTCTGGTACCACTGAGAAAAACCCAGTAATACTTTGCCCGATCGGGAATCGAACCCGACAGTCGGTAGTCGCACTTACGACCACTCGGCCAACGAGGTAGTCACATTTTTTATTAATAAACCGAAATACCGATAAAACTACACAATTTTTAGAGCACGTTTTAATACACGTTTTCAGTAGGTAATAAATGGTTTACATGTTTGTTATTAGTTTTGATTTCGGTTTACGAACACAATGAACTATTTCATTTATTTTCGTTATAATAAAGTTGGTCCTGTTTATAACTGTAATGACTTTTAATAACCAATCTTTACCTGTGTAAATATTACATTACAATTTAACATTTTCGTCCTTTACATTTAACATACCGTCATGCTTTATTATTGCGACAACCTTCCAATAAAATTATACTTAGTTAACTCATACCATGAAGGTATAGCAAAATTAAATCATCAGTTGGCAGCGGCAGGAAGCATCGGGCACTTGGGCAGCAGTGTCAGCGGAGGGAACAGTTCGAGGTGGATCCCTCGTGATCACATCTGCAAGATCTCACCATGCTGCAAGATACGCCTGCTCCTCCAACCCAGAGTCACCAACCAGAGTTCTTGTTAAACTGGTCGTGTATGAACCTCTGTCTGTCAGTGTCACGCCGAACCCTTTGGTGAGTAATAATGGATTTTAGTTCGGTATTATTGATATATGATTATGATATTCTGTTCACTCAAGTTCCATTTAATTGTATAGAATTGCACAGATCGAAAAAAGTCAACGAATATAACAGTTCGCCCGACCCAAGGATCTCTTAACACCTCACTTAACATAAAACTCTTGAGCTATGAGCACTTAACGCGACAATACGACTTTAATTAGTTTTTTGAGTTCTACAATGAAATACTAAATCATTATTTTTCTATAAACTAGGTATGTTTTTCCTAAGGAAGATATTCTTTTTGTAGATGGTAGGTACAGGTGGTTCAGGCCATCTAAACTGCTCAGTGACGGGTGGTCGTGGCGGAGGGGTCACGTTAAGTTGGCAGCACGAAGGCAGACCATTACACGCGCCTCAGTCGCGCCTCAGTCTCGGTCCAGTTCGTTCACATCACGCTGGTCTCTACCAATGCACGGCACATGACCATTCTGACTCCGCTGTTGCTGGTGCCGAGTTAGTTATTGCTGGTAACAATTGCATTATTATTTTTGGAAGTGTAGGTGCCAAATTTAAATTTTGTTTGTAAGTTTACGGTTGGGCTTGCCCTAATATTCTTGATAAATAAATAGTACTTTGTAATCATGTTTTGACACTAAAGGGCCTTTAAGACACCCATTCAGGAAACATAGACTCTGGAAAATAGTTCCACTCCTCAGCAGTATGCACAATGAAGCTTGATGCGAAGCACTTCTTGCGTGTAGGTGGGACATCTATGAATCGGTGACGCTTTGCCGATTGTCTTGTAGTACAAAGATGATCAAAATGAAAAAGAATTCTCAAGTCTTTGAATTCTGAAATCTTTGACGCGAGTCCCGTTTTTCAAACCAATAAATATAACTTTTTATTACAACTTTGAAAAGCTTCTTTTTACTTTGGTTACCTAACATACCACAAACCTTAACATGATTCACAAAATCAACCAGTTTATCTTCATTCCGGTTTCCAGACAGGCCACCACGGTTAGTATCAACGTTCAGTGGAGCGGTGACTAGGATCGGACAGAGCATAGTCATTAGGTGTGCAGCGACTGGCGTGCCTTCACCCCGTATACTCTGGACTTTAGATGACAGACCGCTGCCAGCTGCTCCCGACAAGTAAGTTTATGTGCAATATAGTAGACGGAATATTAAGCCTTAATTCGAGGTGTTTTAGAGGTTAATTTTTGTTAATTCTTTTACATCGGATTGTACCATACATTAAGTTATTTTTTTTAACGTTACCCCACACTAGGATTTTTTCCTGTGTCGTGAGTGCGTTTACAAACATAACAATTTACATACATATGACATCTACCTGTAACAACAATTTGTGGATCACACTAAGTGTTGTTCCGTGCGGGAATCGAACCCGCGGCACGCTGCACGGCAGCCGGTTGCCCAGCCACCGCACCAACCGTGCAGTCTACTGCACACACAGTAAAATTTGACTGACAATTTTGGCCTAGACTACAAAAAAAATATTTATACTAAAACATTTACGCGTATTCCAAGTCTGAAGAAACTGAGAGGGTTGCCAAAAAGCTAATAAACATGTAAATTATTAGCTATGACTTGATTCAGAAAAGACGGCTTGTCAAAATATCTTTTTATCTCCTTTTTTTAGGTATAGCGTTAATACAAGGGCAGAAGCAATGCCAGGAAATGAGGAAGGGACAATAGTGTCCACTTTGAGTGTAACTATTAGGACTGCGGACGAAGGAGGTAGATACGGATGTAATGCTACCAACTCGCAAGGATCTCATGCTCATCAAGCAAGACTGAATGTTTATGGTAAGGGCTCTTTGACATAAATGGTCTTGGTATTTGATATATGAAGACTTTTGTTTGAGTTCAAGTCAAGGTCATGGTTTAAAATACGTCACTTTTGATCACAGGTCCTCCAAATATCCGATATTTACCAGCATTACATGTAAAGACTGACACAGACGTGACAATATACTGTCCGTATTCCGGATACCCGATTAAGTAAGTTATAATATATTTTGAACCTGAAACAGGAGCACTATTCCGGGACATAGATTTTAACGCATTGTCAATTTACAGAGAAGTAGTTTGGAAACGAGAAGATGGGTCCATTGTAGAAAGTATTTTAGAATCGAATGATGAACGAGGAGTGCTAAGACTAAACTCTGTTCGGAGTACGGCAGCAGGAACTTATACTTGCGAAGTCAGAGCAGAAAGTGGGGAGCTTGCTCGACGAACGGTACGACTAGACGTCCATAGTAAGTCCTTCATTTGCTTACGAAAATGTATCCAGTTTACTGACAATATTTAAACGTATAGCCTATTCTTAACAGAGCCACCGAAAATAGCACCGTTTCAATTTCCCGAGGAACTCGAAGTGGGCGGTAGTACGCAAGCAACATGTAGCCTGATATCGGGAGATAAACCGATACAGTTCACCTGGCACAAGGATAATTTGCCAATCCCTTCAATGTTAAAGGTATAAAACGTAGCTCTATCGAAAGTCGTTGGCTTAATTTAAGTTTGCACTATATATTTTCTGCCGTATTTGCTAAAGAAAAATGTTTAACGGTGAAAAATTTTATGATGCTCTATATAGCTTCTATAGTTTTCGGATTTTCATCTTTTAGGTAGAACAAAAAAACATGGACTTTTTCTCCCTACTCATTATACAAGACCTAACTTCGGCACACAGTGGCGAATACACTTGCAGAGCTACTAATGATTTCGGTGCAGTTAGCCATAGCGCTTCACTGATTGTCAAAGGTATTTATTGTCTAAGTTTACTCTAGTACGATTGGGGCACATGTTCCAATTTAGTCAGGCATTTTGGAAAGTATCTGAATTTGAATAAAACACGTTCTTTACTGTATTGACACATTTTTCTTCCATGATTTTATTATTAACTAAATAAAAATCAGTCTTTCTTCTTAATGCACATCTTCAAATATGCAAATCCCTTTCACCTTCAAATAAAGTTCTTTCTTCGTTCTGTCTTCTTTTATATTTTTTTTCTATTTCTTTGCTGGGGCCAGCGTAACATATAAAGCAGTCTCTCCGCACAGAATCGCCGACATGGGTGTGGCGAGCACAGAACACGTCGGTGTCTGCTGGGGCGGCCCTTCTTCTACCATGCTCAGCTAAAGGACAACCTACGCCTAGAATCTCTTGGGAGTATTCCACAGGTAACCAATTTATGGTATATATTTCAAATAAGTAAGGGATTCTCAGTTTAACTTGTGTGTATGTATGTAGAAGTATGTTTGTGCGCGGTTATCTCGTGGTTGACTGAATCAATTTTGATGATGAGAAGGAGAAGATTTTAGGATATTCATAAACCGACTTAAACAACGAGGTGGTTGAAGTTGGTTTTTTCATTCGTAGTTTATAAAAAGAGAATGCCTTAAGGCATTAAGTCCGCAATTCACTGACATTTGTTTGTGAAAAAGTTATAAATAAATAAATAAAAGAATTATTTTTATCCTAGGACAAGACTCAAAGTGAATCAAATGTTATAATTATTGTGTCATTCATACATTTTTTTAATCTGCTTATTAAATTCAAATAATTGTATAGATTATAAAATAATGAACAGAATAACGGTTGTTTTATAATCATTCGACGTTTAAACAGTAATCAATACTGACTTTTTAATTTTAAATTGCCGTAATCCTTGTTTAACTAATGTTGTCCATTTTTAATTTTTTTTTATCTTATAATTTACTAACTATGTTCACAGCCGCGACTTTTAAAAGTTGGAAATTTTACCTCAGTGTCCTTCTGATCGGATTTAATTCCGTCTCAATTGTAGTCAGCTTCAGCAATGACGTAATTTGGTCACAGAAAAGCCTGTCGTGGCATTATTTGTGTTTCCCTCAATGTGTAAAGCTGAATTTTGTTGGATGTAATCGGATCGTTGCGGTAGCGTAATTACAGTATTACATAGTTATATTCAATAGCTACTGCAATTTGATAACGTATTGAATAGGTTGTGTTTATATAAATTACTAGCAGCCCGTCCCGGCTTCACACGGGGTAGACAATTATTCATTTTTGGAAATTTGGATTGTTGTAGGTAGTGACATAACTACAATAGTTGGACATATGCCGCGGAGTTTTTTGTAGACATTATGATGTTCTCCAATATTGTTGTACATTATTTTGTTCTATCGCTAATAGTTTCGGCAGCGCATTCGACGAAAGACGTTTTAAGACTCATTTTTCTACACCTACGGTTACATTGTTCAAATTTTACCAAGGATCCCTAATTTTTTTCTAAATGAAATGTAGCCTATGTCAAATTGGAAGAATGTAGCATTCTATTGGTGTAAGAATTTTTTAAATCGGCCCAGTACTTTTGGAGCCTATTCATTACAAACATACAAAAATAGGTACAAATCTTTCCTCTTAATATGAAGGTATAGAAGTATAGATAATTAGGTACCTACATAAGCATATATCAAGTTATTAGGTATTTGAATACAGGAATACAACTTTATTATTATATATAAGTTTTTTTTTTCTTGATAAAACCATACTATAGTCGTTGTTTAAACAAAAGTTTGTGAAATGATCATTATAATAACTAAACGCTCACTTGAATTTTGTTTTATCGTTAAAATTTTGGGCAAAATATATTAGAAGCTAAGAGTTTATTTAATACGAAAGTTTTATATCCAGTTTCTTTACATTATCCTAAAATCGACAAAAAAAATATTTGGCTCAAGTTTAACGTTGTCCATAACTGTTTTTAGCCAATGAAATTTTTCTCCAACTCTCCATACTACGTAAATTGACAACGATAATACAGTCGGTATCAAAGAAAACGTTCCAAACCTCATTCAAAACATGAACACCAACCATCTTATAGAGATGTTCATTGCTGAACATAAGCATTTTTCTACGGAGCGCCGCAACACACTATTCCCCCGCCTTTCGCATTCAATAATTCCTAGCCAGTTTCTTAAGTCATTGACCTATTAAAATTCAAAATAAGTTACGAGATTTGTTTAATAAAATGCGTATAAGTATTAGGTAGGTACTACCTACTAAACAATTTCTAAGTAAGATTAATTAAAATGTAACTTAGACGGTGATAACTGGCGTCACGTGCTTTGGGGCCAATCAGAGGCGACTGATACAAGTGGGGGCTCCATACTGATAGACGGCACGGTGTGGTTGAGAGCAGCCAGCCCTGAGCACGAGGGCTGGTACCGATGTACGGCGCGCGTCCAACATTCCTTCTTACATCATTCGTTTTATTTGGACGTTAGAGGTAAGTAGGTACTTAGAAATAATAATAGTATTTTATTTTTAAGACAAACTTTCGTGAGACATACTAAATAAATTATAATGTTTTCGGCTTATCCACGTAATAATTTGACGAGGAACTCGACTAGTTTCAAGCCATGCTAGAGGCTCGTATTCATTAGGAGCATTTCGCGACCCACGACGCGGCGGTAAAGTAGCAGCGCGACAGTCGCCGCGTCGCGGTTATTTAGTATTTTATTTCTTGTATAATTTATTTTACACTAAAGTTATACATATTTTTAACAAAATTAATTCAAATAATGTTATATGTCTTTTGTTTATATGGTCGTCAACTAACATAGTAATATCAAACTCATATAATTATTAATCGACATGTATCACTGCATAATTCAATAAAGGTCTGGCTGGAGGAGAATGCCCTAGGCATTAAGCCCACCTTGTACATTAGTGTGTGCATGAAGTCTTAAATAAATAAATAAATAATTTAGCAGCATTAATATCGTATGTACTTCATAATACATTTGTAAACTAATGATAAACATTAATATTACAAGCCATTTAACAATCCATTAATAGGACATTTTATATAGTTTCCACGACTTACCCAACTTATTCCAATAAAACTAATATTCATTGTACATTTAACATTATCGATCAATCTATAAAATTGTAACACAGAAAAACAACTCTTCTTGTATCCTACAGTTGATAAAACCTGTATTTGTTATATTTTGTGTAATATAGAACCTCCAAGACTGAGCAGAAGTGGTAGTGGTGAGACTCGATGGGTGGTGAGAGGAACCACTGCGAGGCTCTCTTGCACTGTCAGGGGAGAGCCTGAAATTCACGTACATTGGACACATGACTCCAGGCCTTTGTCTTTACAGTAAGTACAATTGGACTTTTACAAAATCTTTGACAGGTTTTCACAACTCCAAGAAAATCTTTAAAGACATAGTAAATAATGAGACTGTTTTATTATGTTTTCGATACCATTCAGTTTTACGGCTATATTTCACCGGGACACCATGGCGGTTGTATGTAGCTCTATAGAGGTACTCACCTGGTGTCCACTTAGTTGCGCAACCAATCTGATGGTGCGATCAGTCCGGACGCCAGCGTTGAATGTTACCAGTCGTTCATGCACGCTGGTCGCGCCACCACTAATTATCATAGCGTTATATGGTGTGTTACTCATTCAGCCACCAGGCCTGCTGCCGCGGTAGCGCGACTGGTGGCGCCACCATAGTGTTCCGGTGGAATATAGCCCTTAAAATATGACATTATTTTCGTACCTAAAATTTATGATGACGAGCGTATCAATTCAGTCAATATTTGCAATTATTTGACTGATTAATGTTACGAAATGTGAAAACTTTCATTTCGGAGACTTGACGATTTAATTTCCTGTCTCGATGTAAAAGACCGATAACGCGTCCTGATCAATTTTACGTCAGTTACAGTATCTGCGTCGCAAAATGTTTCATAAAATAAATATTTAACTTAATTAAGGAGATACATATATAAAATCTTGGCTTTTCATCTTCTAAATCTAAAAATCATGCCTACTTACAATATTCAAAATTATTGTCCATACGTAAGGTTACTTACACACCATTACAATATTATTAAAAAAAAACCGTTTAAAAATGAGGTGCGGGTACTTCGTTGTTAAAAACCTTTAAACATTTCCTGACCGCTAGAAGTTGACTACTTTATGCGTGACCGCGTACCGATGATTGTTCTCTCGGAGATTATCAAGTTAAGTTAAAATTGAACATATCAATCCACTTTGTACAAAATGAAAGGCTTAAAATAAAATGTTTGGTGACAGTGGCTCCGGTGGTGTGGAAAATAGGGAGACAAGTGGTGGTGCGATGACGTCAGAGGTGACAATACCTCACGCGGGACCTGAACACGCTGGCGAGTATCGATGTTTGGCGCGTAACCTGTACGGAAGCGATGAACTGGTGTACCGGCTTTTTGTTAAAGGTAAGACGTTTAAAACATAACATGCGATATTAGTCAAGTAAGGTGCATACCGTTTGCATACCGTAATCACGTGCCTGCGGACGGCGAGTACAGGTAACTCGACGTCCGACCTGCTGAACCAGTCCCGAGCGTACGGTGCGTCGCGTTACGCGCGAGCCTCACGGAGCCATCAGACCACCACAGATGGGGCCAAATAAAGCTGATGCTGATACGGAGCTGCAGAGAACTTTAACAAATACCGTTTGCATTTGTATGCATACTTTTGCTTACGTTTATATATAGTATTTTGCTTCATAACGTTGGGTTCAACTCAACCTTACAATAGATCTTACCTTTCATACAGTCCATAATTTGATTTCGATGTAGTGACAATCCGAAATTGGAAACAAAAAGATACGATATAGAAATAACAATGAGCGTTTTCCTAGTACTCCATTGAAGAATTATCTTTGTTTTAATTTAAAGCTTTCAATCAAATATATTGGATTTTATATTTCCTAATGAAAATTATTGACGTCAGCAAATTATTATTAGTCCAGTAACTGTGACATAAATTTATGTACAAAACACGCCTCAAGTAATGAGATAATCTTCATTAATTAATTCTTAACCGATTGATGTCCCTATCGTCTCTAGCATAATAAACTGTAGGTACGTTTTTAATTGGCAACAAATAATAATTACGTTTATGATTAGAATACTTTCTAAGAAGAGGTTCGACGATCGGAATATGGAAATGATTTTCTTTGTTCGATAACATTATACACACAGCACACATCACATAAATTAGTCTTGACAGATAACCCTTCTATCCAGAACTTTAAGTAAAGCCAGGCAAAGCCGTTAAGTGCTAAAAAACGAAAAATGAAAATGCTCTAGCTAATTCTAATTCGCGAAGAGGGTTTTGGTGCACATTTGTTCAGGTTTTGTGAGGATTGGCTGAAATAAGACTGAATAAATTCAAACCGACTGGATAGTAAAATGTCATAACATAACATCACGCCTTTTATCCCCAAAGGATTAGGCAGAGGTGCACATTGCCATATACCGGGCACAATTCCAGACTCCGTGGTATTACTGAGAATTTAAAAACAAAAATAACAGAGAGACCTCATGTTATGTCATAAAATCAATAATTTTTGCAATCATATACCATCAGTGGTTTCGAATGGGTCATTTTTGTTTTTGTTAGGGCTAACTTTTTAGCTTATGTTCCTCCTAGGGACAGTTTTGTCATAGGATTACCGAGTGAAATTACAGTAATAAATTTATTGTGACGTCACTCATATGCAAAATACATATTTAAGTAGGTACAGTACCGATTCCCAGAACTCCTGCTTTTCATATATTCGTTGATTTTGCATACAAACGGTAGATATAAAACCATTTTACTGTAAAACATTTTTCCAGGAATATTGCGTTGCTACGAAATAAAATGTAGTTTTACACAAAAGCAAATGTATTTCTTGATTTATATTAAAACTTCATTTTATTTATTTTATATCCGGAATCAACAGCAACAAATTCTTATTTTCTCTTATTACACGTATGCGATTGTTATTTTATATCTATTAATTTCCCCAAAGGAGGTTTGCTTTAATTATATCAATAATTAATTATATTGTAAGGTACTATCGCAGTCATATTAGTAATGGATATACACAGATAATAGTAGATATTACTCTATTATTTCATTAGCAAATAACTCCTGCCTGTGGACCATGGACAAGACTTCATTTTTCATTTTTCTTTGACTTTGAACTTTGGTATTTTTAATTTATATGTATTATGATATCTTGGTTTACCCTTGCTTTCTACCTATTTTATTTTTATGGACTGCCTCGTTGGCCGAGTGGTCGCAGGTGCGACTGCCGAGCAAGGGGTCTCGGGTTCGATTCCCGAGTCGGGCAAATTATTACTGGGTTTAAAAAAATCTCAGTAGTAGCACGGAGTCTGGAATTATGCCCGGTATATGGCAATAGGCTCACCCCTTATTACATTGGACTCATAGCATAAATAGTGAAAAGTGGGTATTACTTTGTACAGTGGCATAATGTGCACCTCTGCCTACGCCTTCGGGGATAAAAGGCGTGATGTTATGTTTTGTTTATTTTTTTTTGTAGTTCTTAATTATGTTATGTGTGTTTGGCGCAAGATTAAATGGTTTTTCTTTCTTCTTCCTTTCATATAGAAATTATACTATGTATTTTAATGATTTCTTGTACGTCCAAACATTGAACTTCTAAAGAAAGAACTCTAAAATTTTCTGCTGCGTTAAATGAGTAATCAACCCATAGTTTAGTACATTGTTAAGCATAAATAAAGCAATGGAGAATTATATACAAATATTTTATTCATACCTACTATAACTTAGACAAAAATTGATACCAATAACAGTTTTGGTCTTAAAACACAACCGGTGGTCACTGATTGTTATCTTTACGAAGTCTCGACTTCAGTTCCCATTCCGTTGACTATTAAACATGTAAACAACATTAAGTAAAATAGTACCTAGTACCAGTCGTTTCCACGGAGCTGTTGTTCTGCAGCATCCAGTGGTCGTCATGTACTCGCGTCGAGGGCCATAAAGCGTAATGTGTACCCGCGATAATACTGAATACGGGACCCCAATGTATAAATAGGTGCACGTGGAAAGATATTCAGTAATACCATTCAACTCGGTCTTTTTAAAAAATAAGAACGGTTTAAAATTTCTACTTTTAAAATTTCTAGTGCAATGTGTGAATGATCTTTATTGGTGAAACTTATGCTTTCATCATAGAGAACTGAACAAAGCCTTTATTTAATTTATCCGTTCAACTATTGGTTGATTTATCTTAATGCCTTGTACCGCCATAATTGCTGCTTTAGATAATCTACAAATCCCTTAATTGCGATTTGTTCAAAGTGTAAGTTTCCTATTTTTTAAACTATTATAATTCATTTATAACATTAGATTCATACATATTATTACCATTGTCAAATTAACACAAAGATATTATTGCGAGTGAATGGGCTGGTAGGGTTGGTTCTTCTGCACTTGTTCTTTACTTTCAACCTTTTACCCTTACAAACGTGTAATTTATGATACGTGATGTTTCGTTTATGGTTATATATGGTGTAAATAAAATATACAAAGTTTTAAATTTTCGTTTTCCAGACGAACAGATTGTATAAACTTTATGTATTATGATCTAGATAGGCAGTTGTAATTACGGCAACAGATGGGTTGGTGTACCAACATTATTTGAGGTTTAAAGCAACAAAGCTGCTTGCAACTGAAGCGTAAATCTGAAGATAAGAGCTCTACCAAGTACCAAGAAGCTAAATTTAATAGCTGGATTTTCTTAAAAAAATGTATACTATGTAACTTGCGTAGGTAGCCTTCTCACATGAATCGTAAGTTAGTTTAGGTATTGTACGTATCTACGTAAAAGCTTGAGTGATGAAATCCTCGTCTTATACTGTGCCAATAAACATTTTGTCCCTATTAAGTTCCTATTAATACTTTTTGTCCATACAGAGCGTCCTAGTGTACCAGAAGAAGTCCGAGTATCCGAAGTATGGTCCCGTAAAGCGCGCGTCACATGGCGCGTCGCGCGAGGTGCACTCGTGTCGCACTACTCTCTGCAATACCGCGCGTTAACGCGCGACTTGTCGCACGCGCCCCTTGATGCACCGATGCCAGCTCTCCTTGACAACTGGGATACACAGGATGTTCTCAATCTAACACTGGCAAATTCTGATCTACTGCACGTAGCGTAAGTATTAATCATATAGATCTTAATATCAAGGTTACATTTTTACATACTTATAGTAGCAACTTTAACCAATAATATCCTTTTATTATATGTAATGAGTCTTTTTATCTAAGTTTTAACAGTTCCATTTCGATCGCCTATTTATGCAATAACTTTCCTCTTTAATTGTTTTTCTACTTCAAATAAAATAAATCAGAATTTTAATAAATTCTAATAACAATTTAAACGCTTCTAGATATTGGTTTAATTTTAATAGCTTTGCAAACGGAGCTGTGATAAAAATAGCCGAGTGTTTGCGGCGTAACGATTGCTTTGGATTTAAAGTTTAATAGCCTTTAGACCACCGGGGAGCACTGAAATGTTATAACCCTTTGTACAACTTGGTTACTCGGGAAAAAATCAAGCCCAGTTAATTAATGTTTCCGTAAATTTTTCAACAGTTAATTTTCCAGTTTTTAATACGATGTTAGGTTAATTACGACGATTTTATGATTTACTTTCCGAAATTACTAGAAGTATAAGTCAAACATTGGTTTTACGAGTGTAAATAAAATTTGATAAAGCCACCATTTTATTAAAGTCAGATCCATAACGCTTGTTAATTAAACCAATTAAAAACAAAACGTACAAGAAGTGTGAAATTAAACGTTTTCTTTGTTCCGGAGATAGAAAAAAAGAAATTCCTTTTATTAAACCCCCATTTATTACTGCTCATTAACATTTTTGTGTTTACTTTGATCTACGTACATTTTGGAAACTTTCTAATTAAACTATATAAACCAGCGAATCAAGATATTCTGTTTTTGTTCAATAGATATACGACCTTATAACAAAGTCATAAAACTCAAAACTTGTTAATGAAATGTGTTTTTAGGGTGGTTTTTGTGAAATAAACATTTACATTAAATTGTTTAGATCAGTCTTTTCATAGAAGTGACACGTGGATCAGCGATCTGAGAGATATTATTCATTGTATCAATTGAGACGTCATTTGCCTTAGTTTTCCTAGAAACTTACCCACAACTATTTCTTTATTATTCAAACACTTATTTCTATAATGGCTTGGAATTGGGTAGTTTCCAGGGTATCAAAATTAAAAATCTAATTAGTCCGTCAATTAGATAATGAAAAAATATTATATATAGAAACATATTTTTTTATTTTCTCGTAACAAGTTGCAATACTTACATAAAATGGCGCTAAGTTTTGGAGTGGGAGGTTATTACGTCATAACGTGCTACAAAATGTGGCACGCTGTGAAGTCACACGATATTTCAAATTAATACATCGTCGAAAGTATTTAATTTTGTGAGAAAAGAAAAAATACGTGTCTAAAGTTTTAAATTAATCTACCAGACGGACATTAAAATAAAATTTAGGAAACTACTCTATTACTTTCTTATAAATAAACGTTGCGACATAATTCATTTCAATCAAATTGTGCTATCGATCGAATAGAATAAAAGTACTGTTGGCCGATTCTTCAATCATCAGTAAGTTCTTAACTGTAGAATAAAATAGACATTTCATAGTTTTTAATACGGAAGGATTGTCAATTATTCAAAGATATTCCTTAGTTAAAATTTATCTGGCGTTGAATAAATCGATCCTGTGTCATGTGTAGTTTATAGCAGTTTAATAGCTTGCACTTTTTCTTGGGTGACTGTAAACATTGAGTCTTATGCGTCATTTAAAGATTACTTAACCTTCAAGCGGGCGCGCGTAGTCGAATCGACCGCGGTTAATACATTTTCGTTCGTATTTTTATTTTTAGTTGTCACATGCATTTCTAATTTCTAGTAGCCTGTCACTATCTTTTTAGGAGTAAAATAAAAACTATTTCGTTGCTTGAAGCGATCTCTACACTCCACAAATTACAATTATTTAGGCTCTGGCGCAGTCGTTGAAAAGACTACACGCGCCTGTCGTCGAATAGGTTACGCGCGACGCCCAACGCGACATACACATGTCAATATTATCTAATTCAGCTTGGAGTTTTGGTGTTTTAAAGCATTTTTTGTTTAAATAAGTCGTTTATGGTTATCGCAAAGTACAGTAATCGAGGAATTACAAAGAGAAGACGAAGAAGAGAGTGAATCAGAGCTTAGCAACCAAGGCTCTGAAACTTCTCATCACATAGTTTTAGAAGAACATCTATCTGATGTGATATCATCCTTGTCGGATTTAGATGAGAATAATTTGTAGCTTTCGGAAATAAATAGCTGTTTTACAGGACGCGATAAAGTAACGAAGTAGCAAAATCTGAAAAATTACTAGAATACTGACTCAGACGAAAATAAAATCAAAATTAATGAGTTTTTACAGTTTTATCCTTACTTTTTATTTATTTTTTGGTCTACGTATATAAACCAACCTAACATATGTAAACGGGTCTTAATTTTTATTTTGATCCAAAGAATATTTGAGTTACTTTAGGTGACTTAATAATTGCTTCTTTTTCATAATTTTAATTACTTGTTGTGACAAATTTCTCTTTAAAGACAATGATATTGTATCTTAGTACAAATTAATAAATGATTATCCCATAATTATTGCTTTCTTGGTCTTATTCATCCCATAGGTCTATTCGGTTACGCGCGCCCGCTCCCGTTACAAAAGACCGCGCGCCCGCTTGAAGGTTAACCCCATCCTTAGCAATTATTTTCAGAAAAGAATCGTTATTGAGGAATAGTTATTTCAGTATACAATTAATTACAAACGCTCAATATAAACTATCATGAAGTAGGCCTTTAATTTGATTGACGTTCAAATTATGACAGCTCCATCCAAAGTTTATCTGCAAGTAGTAGATTTATGTGATAAGACTGCTTAAGAGACGTCTTAGGCTCGCCTCTAGGCCAGAGGCTAAGAGGATACATAAAAGACACAAAAGTAAAGCCTATATTTTTTACAATAAAGCGTATAAATAAATACACTGTCATAATATATTTACTTAGGTCCGAAGGGCCGGGACGTGCAGGCGCGTCTGTAGCTGGCTTGTCTCCCGACACGCGCTATGCGATGCGCATGGCTGCGTTCAACGACGTCGGCGCCTCTCCATATACTACTCCATTACACTTCACTACTAGAGAGGAAGGTGGGCATATAATATATACATACCTGAATAAGTTGTCGACGAATTACTCAAACAAATATGTACGGTGCTTCAATTAGATTAGATTAAAACTGCAATGTCAATTTAAGTTATTATGTAAGTAACAATGGAACTTAAATAAATATTATAGAAAAGTTAATTTAGCGTGATAATCAGAATATTGGACATTTTGTCTTGAAATATTATCTATCTAATACTATAATAATCTACTGTATCACTAAACGTTGACTATCTGTTTGTTAGAAAATTTCTGAAGAAAAAAAATTAAGTATAATAAAATAACCGCAGTTAATTGAAGCCATCCAGTAAATATTTGCTGTAACCTAATATTCTTAAAAATCATTCTCATTGTTACGTTTAGGAAGTAAAACGGTGTGGATATGTCATTAATATATTGCTGAAGGTCGGTTCGAAATGAGAAGCAGTATGAAGCTTCCTGCCCATTAAAAAACAGTGCTGTGCAATTTCCGCAGGAAACTTCGCAAATGCGTGTGAATGTATGAGAATGTCCTTCTTCTTTGTTCACAGGATAAAAATGTATAGAACACAAAGCGTTTTCAACTTTATTTCGAGTCTATTAAAGTTGGTTGTTCTTTGTGTAGAATTTGGTGAACTTTTTTTCTCGGTCTCACTTCTGACAGAGTTTTTTTTCGCTAGCACCCGGTGGAGCACCTCGTGATATTACCGTGCGGGCACTTAGGGCGCGGGAACTTCACATTACTTGGCAGGTAGGTATCATCCAAACTTTCTTATGTATTTATACAGCATACACTTAGTGTGGGAGTAGACTGATGGCATTGATCATTTATCAGATATTCGTCGTATTGAAATCGTTTTTTTAGAAGTTCTTTATGTTGTATTTGTAGGCGTAGCTTTCTTGTTGCTATGTTAATGTTGTAAATGTTTAGCGTGATTGTGAAGTTTTAAGTTACATATTCGTCTAGTGTGCAGATTTATCTAGTAAAGTTTTCTATGAATTCACCTAAAAACACTCTGTTATCGCAAACATTGGTTATAGTGATTTCAGAAGATTAACAGGGTCTTTCGTAATCTTACTTTTTTTAGCCACCACCAAGAGAAACATGGCACGGTACCCTCCTAGGATATACCATTCGCTGGTGGGAAGTCTCAGAAGAGGGGAAGGGTACATTGAGTGATAGTCCAGGGTCGGAGTCGGGAGCCAGTGCTGATGCCACCAGTACCACGCTGCGAGGATTGAAGGCTGCCACGAGATATGGTATAACTGTGAGAGCGTACAACGCAGCTGGTACAGGACCATTGTCACCACCACATTATCGACATACTTTGGAGTCACGTAAGTCTCCTTTTTTAATGTTTTTATATTCATGACTTACTTATATCAGAAGTGGAGAATTGAAGAAATGTAGTGGAAAAGACAAAAGCTACTTCTAAACTGTTATGCATATTTTAATGACTAATCATAAAACTTTCGTAGCAGTTCGATCAAACCGATTCTAAGAGGTAATACTAACAAAAATTGCTTGCTAAAGGAATCTCACCGCAAGCTTCATGAAAACTATTCTTACTCCCGATAATCGCCTTCGAAAGCGCTATAAAATGTTCCAAGTTGGAAACTGAAAGAGATCGATTTGTTTAATGTTCGAAACAGTCAGCCACAGAAGAGTATCGAAGTTGAAACTTGGACAAGGCAAGTTTTGTCGTAGTAGTAAATAACCGAACGTCGCTATCGACGTGAAGCGACGATCGTAAATTTTCCCATCAAAATGCAAAATGGCTTAATTGGACTGTGGCCTTCTCGATCTAGGTCAAACGATTCAGTACAAATTGATGGCACTTTTGTATTCTGCGTTTGTTTCATTTTTATTCCTTCATGAAAAAATAGACTTACAATTCTTTTAACGCCGGTTACTTGTTTGAGGCAAAAATAATGAATGTGCTCTTTCAATTATATTATTCTTAGGTTTATACTTTGCATTTAAAACAGGAAAGTTTTACTTTTTTGCTGCATTTTGCTTAATGTTTTGCCTATCTCTTACTTCTGTGTGTCATAAAATTTAGCTGATCGGAATAACTGCGATAATTATCCCTAAATTTGTTCAAACATTTGTGTATGATCTTTTCTTTTCAAAATTAAACGTTGCCAACTTGAAAAGGCTTAATTAATGCTCTTAATAAGTCACATGTGCGCTCAACAACCTTTCGAGTAATTAATCTTAGAAGATTGTTATTAAGGAATTGCTTTGCAAGCGTTCGGAAGACACGGAAAAGCTGTTCGGATAATAACTCAGTAGAAAATTAATACAAATAATATTTTGGAAACAAATTATTGTACCTTTGAATATGTTATCCTTGAAAAATCTCATTAGGCTAAAGAAATCGATATTTGTTATATATTACATTGATATTTGTGATACAAAACGTGTGGGAGAATTTATTCTTTGTAAAGTTGAATCGTTAGAATGTACAAAGCGAAAATAAATCGGTCGGAAAAATACGTGGTGTGTCCCTCTGAGAGTTGTAAGAGTACTTCCTCGTAAAGCGATCGTCTCAAAGTGCCACTTGCTACTTTCCGACACTAGTGAGAATTTTAGTAAGAGGTTGAGTGTAGTGTAAACATGGGATGTTCGATTTTAAAAAAGGAAATTTATACTTCATATCAAAAGTTCTTACATAACATAACATCACGCCTTTTTATCCCCAAAGGACTAGGCAGAGGTGCACATTTCGGCACTTAATGCCACTATACAATGTAACACCCACTTTTCACTATCTATGTTATGAGTCCACTATTATTGTATGTATATATAATTATGTTGTAATATCCCTATTACAACATATCGAGGGGTAACGGGCGGTGAGCTTATTGGCATATACCGGGCACATTTCCAGACTCCGTGCTACTACTGAGATTTTTAAAAACCCAGTAATACTTTGACCGACCCGGGAATCGAATCCGAGACCCCTTGCCCCCCTTGCTTGCAGTTCAAACATTCTTATCACTACTTATTAAAAAAGGCATCCGATTTTAGATTCCTGACTGAACCGATGTAATGATATGATCTTTCAAACTACATTTACATTTGTTAACAACTTAGGTACTTAGGCGCAAACAAAGAGCACTGAAATATTTTTTGTTGAATGCTCTTTTTCATCGAGTTACAAGATTATCAAACCCATTGGCACTTATTGACACAAACTTTAAAAAATATAGCTCATTACTAAATATTACCAAACAGCTCCAACTGGTAGTCCAGAAGGTGTAACCTGCATATCGAGTGGGTCCACATCACTACGAGTGTCATGGCGGCCGCCGGGCGTCGAAAACAGAGGAGGGCTCATAACTCACTATACTTTACAATACACGCGACGAGATGCCGATCCAATGCTGCCCACACAAGACGCGTATTTGAGGATACAGGTTGGTGTACCATTTTCCTGCTAGTCTTTTTGTTTTGTATCTGTGTTTGTTTTTACATTTCAGTTAAAAGTGTTTCAGTTTTCTATTAATGAAATTACGTCATGACTTATTAGAATTACCACGTACCTTTACCTTTACCTTTTTACTCTAGTTAGAGTGGCATGTGATCATTTTCGTCCTTCAAAAAGCCTTAATTTATACACTTCACTTTTAAAACAATACACATCTATACATAAAGCAAGATCTTCCAACAAAGTAATGTTTTACTAATATATACGCTCTTTCAATAAACCAAAGAAGTATCAAAACGCATAAGTATTCAAAATACATTCTCTGATATTGTGTGGTTTTCCTTTACAAAAGGGTGAAGAATCAACAGTTTCACGATTGACGCCGTACGCTGAATACGAAATCCGAGTGAGGGCGCACAATGCTGCAGGGGATGGTCCTCTATCCGCCCCACAAGTTTGTAGGACTGATGAAGATGGTAAGAAAACAATATTAATTGTTTAGTTTTTTAATATTTTTTTTTCAACTTTATTAGATACAAAAAACTAAACAAGTCTACTTATGATCGACTTCGGGAAAATAACAATTTTGTGTCTTTATTGCGATTTTTTATCTGTACTAAACTTTTTCTTTTTAATCTTTTTATGGTTAGAGGAGATCTCAATCAGTTTTAGCGCAAGATAATCATGAGCACTATCGCGAAAATTTCACCGATTGTCTTTCCAAAGGTCGAAGTGCAATTTTTATCGTCGAGTATTTTCTTTTACAGAGAAGAAAGTGTTCTTCATTTTCATGTATTTGAGACGCATACAATTCTTTCAGTGCTTGTTTGGGCAATCACTGTTATCGTTCTTGATTATTTCATCATGATTAAGTCATCAACTCTGTACAATGTTCTTGATTTGCTCCAAACAGTGCCCAGTGCTCCTGGAGGGTTGAAATTGATAGCTCTGGGCGAAAGGTCACTGAGGGCCTCGTGGCTACCTCCTCCGGAACCCAACGGAAAACTCACGCACTACACTCTGTATGTCAAGGATCTATCGGGGTAAGTTTATTACGTTCTTATTATCGTATGGAACATTCAAGAAGTTCAAAATGAATTTCTGCAGCCGTAATTATAGTCTACTAAGTAAATGTCACGCCACACGCCCATACAATTTGTTCGATTTATATAGCGTTAACCTTTATTATATAAATGGTTACTAAACTTTTATGTTTCAGAACTTTTCGATCAATATTTTTAGGTTATAATATAGGTTATATTTATAGAAGTGTATTAATTTTGTTAAAGACATCTCTTTATTATTCGAAAATTATGAATAAAATTAATTATAATTACGCATATGGTAAATAAACTCTTGTATTCATGTAAATACTAATGAAACAAACATTTTGTTTCGTATAAATTAATGCGTTAGACGACTGTCATGAAAATTTCATGCTAAAATTAAATTATCAAACAAAATAATTGGAAACAGTCATTAAAATTACAGGTATTGATTTCTCGTTGGCAACTGGCATTTAGTTTCGATGATATTGTTAATTTATTCTATCCTGGGCCTCTAGCCAAAAACCACTTTAGCGCTTGTCTACAGAGAGAGTAGAAATCAAAATGTATGGGGATGACACTGACAAGTGTCAAAATTTACGTCAATTCCATATAATTTGGTTTTCTATTCTACATGTAGACAAGCGCTAAATGGCATTTGGCTAGCACTGCTGAACTCGTAAAATTGTTGTCATTTTTTTCTTTTCATGGTTTAACATTGAGAGTTATTCTCATTCTAGTTTGCCTGGATTGAGAATAACTCTGAGATTGAACAAGATTTTTATTTAATTAATTTTTTTGTCAATTTATTTAAAATCATCATGAACCAGATTAAGCTGAACGTGATTATTGTCTATGGTTATATCAATGACATCAGCCTTTCACAACTCGCTAAGGTTGGTACACATTCCCAGTTAAATCCATTATTAGATTTATAAGGCTTCTGACTACCCGTCCCGTACTATCATAGATATTCGTATGACAACCAGGATCAACGGCTCATTCAGGACTCTAAAGCATAGAAGACAATTTCGATTCTAAAAAAATAACAGTCCAAGTAGGTATTCAAAGTATAGATCTTTATCATATAATCCTATCAAAGTGGACAAAGGTCCTTTCAGCTTCGGCATTGTTCTTTGCATAGCTAACCGGTTTGTTGTGTTCAAAGAACTATTACTTAGGGTCAATCCTTTTCGTTCAATCCTTCTCATTTTATACAAATTATATGTTGACTAGATGTTTCATATAGTAGGATTTGCCAAAATTCCTTCATGATAGGCAACTTCAAACTTGTGCATTGGGCATGGAATTCAACGCAAAAAGGATATACACACCGTAATTTCTATTAACATAGGTAAGGTATTAACGTCGTAATCGGTGAAGACGCGAACAAATCAAGCTTATGTCGGATTCGTTCAATTTTTAAAATTAGAATTTTGTAATAAATTGAAAAATGTGTTCAGAATTCGATATTCAAATATTAGAATCTAATTCCCTATAATAGCAATAAGAAATTTCAACTCAATATAATTACATAGACCAGTAACAAATCAGAGTAGTTGAATGGTTCGACGCGACGTAGTCATAGCACAGGCTACAGAACGGAGCGTTAATGAGATTACACGGTAGGACGACCTCTCTGAGATGAGTGACAAAGCGAAAGGGATATTGCAGCGAGCTAGGTAAACTGAGGACTGAAACGTCCATGTTGTCCTTTGGTATATCAATCGAATAAGGTATGAGAGATCTGAAATACCTTTGTTCATCAAAACCTATTTTTTCTTTCAATAAATTCTTAGTAAATCTTAACCTACTCTTCAAATCATATCTATATAAATACGAACGTCTATGACAGTTGTTAAGATTTCTCAGAAGGCTGACAACGAGTCTGACAAAGAATATTCGTGTATGTGACACCTTTAGCGGGCTGAGGAAGGCAGATTACTCCATGTAAAATTATGCTTACATTTACTAATGTCAGTGGACATACTAAATGAACTTAAAATCGCGGTTTCAATCAACAGCCTATAAATGCCCACTGCTGAGCAATGCCTCTTCTCACACAGATGAGGTTAGAGCATTAATTACCACGCTTGCTCAATGCGGGTTGGCGATTACAGACTTATAATTAGAAATTATAAGCCCAGGTTTTCTTACGATGTTTTCCTTCACCGTTTGTCAATGGTCTCAAAATAATCTTAGAAAGTACATATAACTCGGAAAAAGTCACATTGGTACTTGCCGTGTTGGTAGGTTTCGAACCTCATGCACGAGAAGCAGGCGTCTTAAACCTTCGGGCCGCCACGACGCAAACTAAACCAACTCGTAAATCGCGGTTTACTCACGTGAAAATACTGAGAAAAGCTTTACTAGTTTCGAACCACACACGAATCATGAGGAAGAACCCTTCTGTGGTTCGAAACTAGTGGAGCTTTTCTCAGTATTTTTATCAGTTGAGTTAAAACTCGGTGTTGTCTTCAATACTAGTCAGGAAAAAGCGAGGACAGCACCGCGACCATCAGTCATTCTTTAATTTTAAAGAAAAGCATATTTCAAAAATCCAACCGCCCTAAGTACATATCCGCGAGCAATTACAAAAGCAATTATGTGGTTAAACCACTGTAAGTATCAGTTAATAAATAATTGAAACAGAACCCTACCTGGCAGGGGAATAAGCAAAGTTGTTCAGCAATCAAAGTTAAATACCGCTTGTCCTAACCACTTCGCATAGTTTGTTCAGTAACAGTTTTGATACTTTAGTTCAACCGAATGATACAATAGTTAAACTGCCATCCTTTATTCACTACGCTCCTTTGCCAGATTTAATCCCTTCATAGCATCTAAAGGATTTTGCATAACAGTATCAAATATCTGCATAGGTTATTGCATGCATATTGGTTTATAAAGGGTATAGGAGCTGCCGGTAACTCGGAATTTCTACGACGATAATAACATTTCATGTGTGTTCAAGTGTGTAGTGTGATATCTTGTGTATATGGTTGGATACACTGGGAATTTAAGGAGATTTTTAGTCGAATAGGTAATATTTTTGTTTTTTTTTTTAATCTGTGTCGTGGGTGCGTTTATAAACATACAAGTTTACTATCACTTACTTACGTCTTAGGTCACAAGAACCCAACGTGACCCGTGTGAATGCGTGCACAGAAGTCGAAGGAACGACTACGGAGTGCATGCGCACTATGCGTGGTCTCCGTGCAGGTCGCACGTACGAAGCGTGGGTTCGCGCTGCCACTGCCGCTGGGGAAGGTCCACCATCACCTGCCGTCGCTTGCCAGACCAGCTCGTTGGGTTAGTGTCTTGTATTTTGATTCTTCTGTCGTCGTCGATTTGGTGAATTTCTTGACTTTGTTTTATCAATATGAATACATAAATACTTAAAATACAAATAAGATATGGTAAAAACATATTGCTAAAAGTTGCATAAGCATTCATGTGCGGCTGACAAACGATGCACGACAAATTTCTCCACGTTATATTGTGTGAAAAGTATGTTTTAGAGATCAAGAGAACTAGCATCTAAAGCGAAACAGATTTGTACGGTATCTGCAGCTGTACCCAAATGCCATTTAGTGCTTGTCTACATGCAGTTAAAACCAAATTATATGGAATTGACGTAAATATTGACACTTGTCAGTGCCATCTCCAAACATTTTGACTTCTACTCTCTCTGTAGACAAGCGCTAATGTGGCTTTTGGCTAAAGGCCCTGTTTACTTGTATAGCACCGGGTCGTATCTCGTCATTTGGTGGCGTGGCACTGGGTGCGGCGGGCGGGTCGCTGTCACTTCGATGTGTAGTGGGTGGTGCACCGCCTCCCGCCAAACGATGGCTCCGAGCTGGTGCACCACTGCATCCCCGACCACCCTTCCATCTTGATGGAGATGCACTGCTTATACGAGGTAAGAGCTCCATAAAATATTATGCTTATATCACTTATATTTGTTCTACCCATATTATATTTGAGGCAAAAAGGGTGTTATGATGTTAAATATTTTTCTTAGAATATTTAAAAATAACTTAATTTTTGGATAAATTTATTGGAATTCTTATGACTTATTCACGTGAACTATTTGAGAAGAGCTCTACTGGTTTCAAATCACACCGGGACCCTTATTCATGCGCAATAAGCGCGAGGCGGTGTAATAGTGCAGCCAAATGTCCTAAGAAGTAGTTAATTGCACGATATCGCCTCATATAACAAACAATACAACAAAAACCCATTCTAACAGGTTTAGAGTTATCACACGCCGACAACTACACATGCGTGGCTGAGAATCCACATGGTTCCGACTCGGCAACATGGAGAGTGATAGTATTGAGACCGCCGGCACCACCAGGGCTAGCGTTACTTGAAGCGAGGTCCAGGGAACTAGAGCTTGAACTACGGCCAGCGCCAAGATCACCTGGACATGCCATCCCTAAAACTTACAGCTTACATTGGCGGTTAGCAACACCAGAGGTTAGAAAATATCGGGTTAATAGTCATTATTTCATAATAGTTTTTTCTTCCCCACAGAGGTTATTCTGTTGCATGTCCAAATATTTTCTGTTTTTTTTTCTAACCTCGTAATTGACGAGATTCGGACAATGAGGCGTGTTAAACACAGTCGTCAAAAATATTTTAGTCCCAAAAATATTATTAAACATAATTCACATACATACCTGGATAAAGTATAGCAAAGTGGGCCATAATTATTAAAAGATTCCTTGAAACGTGCCCTATCAATCACTCACATTTCAAATCCATTTTAGGGTGAATGGCGGATTCAATTAGCCACTCCTGGCCCAGTAACATTATCTGGCCTTCGTTGTGGTTCCGCATACAGAGCTTATGGTTCCGCTGGAGGTGCTCCAGGGTCTGAATTGGCTGTTAGGACTTCTGGAGGTCCACCCACTGCGCCTCCAGATGCAAGATGGATAAGAGCTAACGCCACCCATGCGAGGTTTGATACCAGTGCGTGGGGTGATGGTGGCTGTGGACCAGTTGCTTTGAAGCTGGAGTGGGCAGGATCTGGAGTAGCAGGCGCTCGGGACGTGCCTGTAGGAGGAGAAGTTATATTAGGAGGTAAGTTAACTATTTCATTTTCGGATTTCCGTGTGATCTTTGAGGGTTGACAGTATAATGAGTGTGGAGAATTATTATAACACTAACTACTTACAAAACTTCTGCTCGTTATAACTTCGTCTTCTTATAAGTTGTAAAGGTCAAATGTAACGTACAGTTCCGATTCTTACGATGTCGTACCATTGATGTTCTAAGAAATACAATAATTATTGTTGTTGGGTTTTACGTGGTAACACAACACTTTGAAAATATAAACTCGATCTAACTTTAAATGTAAGAAATTTGTGTCAGACATGTAACTACTTAAGTTAATTTTAGGTACCTAAGATAGTTAAACTTTATAGTTCGAAATCTATGCTAAATAGCAATCGAGCAAATCTTCTTAAACACTTAGGTCTATCGCCGGGCTCTCGCTACCGAGTTGCAGCGCGAGCGTCGAACGAAGCAGGTTGGACGCGTGAAGTATTTGAATTCGCGACGCAAGCGGCTGACGGCCATCTTGCGGAAGAAGTTGACGCGCCGTTCCCGGCTACTGCGGGGGAACTCGCTCTATTACTTGCATTATGTGCTGCATTGTCACTGGCCGCACTTACTATACTAGCCATACTATTGAGGAGGAAAAGGTGAGTGAGTTCATGTATTCAGAACTAAATCTAAATTTCTAGTACCTTTAGTTGATTTTTCTTTTTGTGCTTGCAGTATGTGTTTGGGCCATTTTTATTCCAAGATTGATTTACGAACAATATTAACATGTACTCCAAAGTTTGAGTGTGCTATCAATTAATTAGCTATAACCACATCACTTCCTATACAGTTCCGCGAGAGTACGAAATTAATCTTATCAATATTTATTAAATTACGAGCTTCTAAGGAAATGTTATATGCCTAAATAACAGAGGGAACATAGAATACATAATTAACTTCTGGTTATAATTTGACATTATTTATATGTATCGGTAGCATTTTTTATTACATCTAACTGTTACTGTGTCATGGTGGCCCAGAGGTTTAAGAGGCCCACTTCTCATGCATGAGGGTGCCGGTTCGAAACCTACCAACGGCTTGCCGTGACTAATGTGACTTTTTCCGAGTTATATGTACTTTCTAAGATTATTTAGACACCACTGACAAACGGTGACAGAAAACATCGTGAGGAAACCTGGGCTTATAATTTCTAATTATAAGTTTGAAATCGCCAACCTGCGTTGAGCATGCGTGGTGATTAATGCTCAAACCTTCTCCGTGTGAGGAGAGGCTTTGCTCAGCAGTGAGCATTTATAGGCTGTTGATGATGACATCTTACTGTATAGGAATACTAACTACATGAGAAAATATTGACAGCAATCGAACAAGAACGAAAGCAGAACAAAGAAAAATCATTAAGCTGAGTTCGGAAAAATATGATTAGTAAAAATAAAAGGATGGATCGTTAGCGTTTGTGATCTGCGTGTGACAAAGTGCTGACATAAGCGGTGTCGCTCCATCGACCCTTTTCACTCCTAGTCTTAAAGAGTCGACGTGTAACATGACGTTTGAACGTACCTTTGACGCGAATGATTCGTTTTTACGTCATAATTTATGTTGAATTTATTGACTCGCCTTCAGTCTGCATGATTAAATACGCCCTGTATGTTTGTGATCGATAGATTAGAACGTCACGCATTTTATTCCAAGAAAGACAGAGTAGCTCTTAGGTAGGTATTATCCAATATTTCTTAAGATTATCCTTGGATTCTCTTATTCTCCTTTGATTTTACTTCTTAGATTTTCCTATTTTGATCCTTCTTCTTGGATTTTGGATGATCATTAAGTCATCCAATGAATTACTTTGAATCACATCGATAAATTAGAGTATGAAAATTATTTTTAATTTTGTATATTGAAGTCAATTTCAAATTCTGAAATGCATACACACATCTCAAATTTTGTTGTTTTTTATATTTTAGCTCTGAATTCTACAATTAATTGTAAAATTCGTAGAATTACAATATGAGAATCATTTTAGTTTTCTCGTTAGTCACCTCTCGAAATTATTACGAATTTTATTTTTTATTATTAACGTTTTACAAATTGGATAGAGCACTGTCAATCAATCGGTAACAGTTTTTGATTATGATTGATTCGTGCATTCTATTTTACGATGTGGTTGAAGTGACTCATTTTATCTTTTAGTGCAATTTATTGGTTATATTACCTACATAACATGCATGGAGTAAATATAAATATTTTTATTAGAAAAACGATTATTAAAGTACATTCATATTAACCTACTTCTAAGAAACTCGACGGAAAAATTCGTAAGAAAAGCTAAATCGCATAGAACTACTACTTGTGCGCTACCTCATGAAAATTCTCGGTACTCGCAACTTATATTTAAAATCCTCGCATTTCACAAACACAAAAACGAAACATTTTACACAACAATAAAATACTAGCTGCAGAACTTAATGATCGTCCTTGTTGCACAGGAACGGGAAAATAATTATCAAAACCTAACAATACAATGAGAACTGAAAATTTACGAGCCGTAAAATAATCCGCAGCAGTTAGTTAGTCAACAGGCATCGTTGTAAACGTGTTTTACGATCGACTTGTAATAAATTTACCCTGTACATTGTATGAATATTCAGGCTATATTCATAAATGCTGGAATCCGAGCTATACGTGACCTACATATCGCATAAATGTGCATACTACGGAAATGCACTATCAATATGCCATTACGTTAATGAAAAATGTTCTTAGAATCCTTTGTATCTCCGACAAAGAATCGAATTTACTGTTTTGTTACGTTTGTTAGAAGAATTGTACAAAATTTAATTCAGCATGAAATCCTAATATTTGATTTCATAAAAGGTGTCCCTTTTTATTCAAATAAATATAAATTTTGACATTCGCAAAATCAATTATATTATCTGAAACATAAATTACAATTTCAGAGCCTCAATTTTATTAAATCACAGACCATTGACTTGTTGCCACCATTTTTAATTTAAAATGCAAATGTGTGTTGTTCGTTAAATGTTTTTATGTTTGAAAAATGGAAATATAAGAATAATACAAGAATAGATACATCAACAACCCCCTATTACATGGGACTCATAATATAAATAGTGAAAAGTGGGTGTTACATTGTACAGTGGCATAATGTACACCTCTGCCTACCCCTTCGGGGATAAAAGGCGTGATGTTATAAACATCAACAACATTTATCGTAAATGAAAACCCGACGCGTGGTCAATGTTGTTGACATTACAAACATGGCCTTAAGAATGGCTAAAAATCCATGCTTTAACTACAAATAATTCTCTTCGTTTAAAAAAAAAACGGAATTTAATAGTCAACCACTGACAAGCGTTCAATGATATATGCACAATTGCACAGCGTAGGTGGGCGTGCATATTTATGGCAGCAAATATTTGCATATTAAATTAAAAATCGTGCGCACAAATCACTACTTCGTCATTCAATAAAGGTTTGTTGATGTTAATTGTAATTGTTTTGTAAACCAGGACTGAAGGGGCTGTAGCTCGAGTGTCTACTAATGCCGAGAAGCCAGCTTGCGGCACTTACAGAGCACCTCAACATCAAGCCACGAAATTACCCCCAGATCCGCCAGGTAAGAAATATTCACATCAAATTACTAACAAATATCTTATTCAAAAACAATAAGAACTAAATCTATTAAAGATAGTTAAAACTACCTATGATGATTTCATTCAATATCAAGGCTATACAGAAACATACAAAAAAGTGAATGTTTCCTTAATGCCAGAAGATGGAACAATATTTGATGAATTATGCTAAAACACGCGATTTTTCTAAGAAATTACGCAAATAAAAAACTAATGAGATTGTTATGTTCCTAAAATCGTGTACAGCAACGTTGTTTGTATTCGGCAGACATTTTTTTAACATATGTTTTGGAAGTAGTTTTATTTTCGTTTAGTGCCATTGTTTACGTTACACGTGCCCGCCAAACAAAGCATCGAGTGGCGAATTTCCGGATTTTGACGATCTGATAGTAAATTGAATGAAAATAAAATCTTTTTGCCTCGAGCCAGTCCACCCACCACCTAACCACCATCTAAAGTTAAAATATTTTCAAGCTTCATTTTACGAAGAGAACATCGTAGGTACATTATTTCCAAGAAAAAATGTGTTCCACACGAAAATTAATAACATTTTAAAAATCCCCCTTCAAAAAAGATCCAATAGTTCAGGTCCTCGTACTTTTCATTATCAATTTTCTTTAAAACCTTGGGAATAAAAGCTGCTAACAATTTTTATGCGTCGAGAACCTTTTACAGGCTTTCAAGACATTTACTCTGGGGGATTTAATATTTAATACTCCGGTTCCAATTTTATAAAAGATCCCTTTAAGCTTAGGAATGGGCTCTAATATCGCAATGTGTATCTATGGGAAGTAAATGCTACTTTAGGCACGCTGATTGTAAAATTTTAGACCCTCAAAATAGGAACATTATTAAAATTTAAGCTCCATTATTAATTAAATATAAATCTTGTTCGCAAAAGTAAAATATATTCCAAATTAAAAACACATATTTTCCCGATCACAGCGCAAAATAAATCCGTTAATTCCGTCGAGGCCGCTCGGACGAATAATTAGCTACGCGCTCGTAGCGGGCGTAGCGAGCGTAGCGGATTGTAGTCGCCGCGTAGCATTTATTTTCTGTATTATTCACGTTTATCTACCGTAACCCTGGATGCCATGAATCATTTATTTTTGTGTCAATACCGACAGTTTATGGCTCAACTTGTGAATAAATGTAGGTATAGAGATGCGTTAGAGGCTTATATGCGCAATGAAATACTGAATACTACAGACTTGACTTTATTTTATTTGCATTTCACTGTTTTTTTAGATGTTCTCGATAGTATTTTTATTTATTGTTGCATTTTTAGAAGTGCTACAAACTAATACCTACTTCAAAAGAAAGAAATTGGGGTAATCATCAATAAATTTGTAAATAATTAGGTACGTATTTTAAGCCGTTAGTAAATGAGGTAAATATCTGAAAGACCTTACAAAAAACTCAAAAAAACTCAGCAGCAATTTGCACCTAATGTACCCATACATAAATTAATAATGAAACATAAACGTACTTGTACACAGATGTGTACGAGATAAGTCCATACGCGACGTTCGCGGGCGGCGCGGGCGCGGTGTCGGGGAGCGGCGCGCGCGCGTACACGCTGCAGCTACGCGCGCTCGCGCGACACGACGACGACGCCGCGCCGCCGCAACACCCTACCTGCTGCGACGGTAACCTATACGTATAATATATCTATATTGGATAAATAAAAAAAATTCTTTTCAATTTATTTTAGTAAAACTTATAGACTAATATTATTCTATAAAAAGCCTTGCTAGGACTTTTTCCTGTATCATGGATGCGTTTCTAAACATACAAGTTCACATACACATCACACCCAGACAATAACAAAAATCTACCCAGACAAAATCACCCGAAACAAAAATCTATGGATCACACAAAGAGTTATTCCGTGCGGAACAACTCTTTGTGTGAACACACGTGCACGGCAGCCAGTTGCTCAGCCACCGCGCCATCCGTGCAGTCAATATTACATTTTATTACTACTACTAACTCTCTCTTATATTATGTAAAAAGTAAGCTCCTGACGACTGTGCTGAATGTATGCCACCAACCAACATTTGCAACAGAGATATAGATTTCAAAGTGATTTCAAGATATTAGAAAGATTCGGTTGTCTAAATAAATTCCAAGAGTCATGAAAATTTTATCACATGCTCAGTGTAATATTGTGGTAAACAATAAAATGAATGTATTTTTGTTGTGCAGAAGAAACGTGCGTAGACGCATGCGACGCTCAGCGGCGACGGAGACGCCGACGACATTATTGCCCGGACCACGGTAAGAGTTTACAAAACATAACATTACTGGTATTTAACAAACATAACTTCGTAGGTACACGACGTCTCGCCTTTATTGACAAAGCTATGAAGGATAAGCAGAAGTGCTCAATACATTATTCTGAAATCAGTGCTCACTAAGAATATATTTAAAACTAGCTGACCCGGCAAACTTCGTACCGCCTAAAAAATATTTTTCTCACCTTTTAAATCTTCCCCGGACTTCCACGAACATTTTAAGACCAAAATTAGCCAAATCGGTTCAGCCGTTCTCGAGTTTTAGCGAGACTAACGAACGGCAATTCATTTTCATTTGTATAGATATTGCATACAATACAATAAGCTCAATGGTCAATGGTCACACTTGTCACCATCGAGCTAACGACAACAACATACATCAACATAATATCACGCCTTTCTTCCCCGAAGAGCTAGGCAGATGTGCACATTATGGTACTTGATGCCACCGTACCATGTAACACTCACTTTTCACTATTTTATGTCATGAGCCCCATGTAATAGCGGGTGAGCCTATTGCCATATACCAGGCACAATTCCAGACTGCGTGCTACCACTGAGATTTTTTTTAAAACCCAATAATACTTTCCCCGACCCGGGAATCGAACCTGACACCCGTTGCCCGGCAGTCGCACATGCGACAATTCGGCCAATTCCAGGCAGTTGGTGAGCAGTGAGCTAACGAGGCAGTATAAAATTACTTTAAAATAGGTAATAACGTAATCTTAACTAATTAAGCTTACTAATGAAATCGCTTCTTTGTCCACAGGTTGCTCACAAGATTCAGGAAGTTGAGAAACGAAACTGCCAAACTGTTTAGTGAAAAGTATCTAGTCAGTGTAATATTATAGTTAATTCGGTTATACATATTAATATGTATACAAAAATTTATACAATAATATTGTCTATTTATATTACGATGTTTTTCTTAATTCTACCTATTTTCCCGAAATTTTCAATAAAAAGATAATGTGACACATTATTTATGTTCGTAATTATTTTCCTTTTAAAAGTATCCTTTAAACGCATCAGTAACACAAAAAAGCAGATAACAATACCTATATATAATCTGAAAATTTTAATAAATTGAGACTACAAAATGCCCATTCGTAGTTATCTATCAATGGTTCAACGATGCTATTCAAGGCAATCCAAGCTGTACACATGATATATCTCCAAGATACTAGACTATTTTAGTATGATCTTATGATCGATACGATCAAATTTTGGAGATTTTAGGTACAATATCCCCAAAATTTGATCTAAGCATCGGAAATGCCGCAGAGAACCTAACAGGTTACCGGGGCTCCGGTTCGAAGTGCAGGAGTAGGAACGGGGTAGTTTTTAGTCAGTACGAGTCTGACACTCCCGCCTCACTCAAGCGGGAGAAATCATTCGATGACTTTCCTCCCTTAAAAAAAAAAGCATCGGCAATAACGTAATAATGTAGTTAGTGGACAGCAGTCACCAGTGACCGCTTGGAGATTGATCAGCTGTAATATAACTAGAGTTCAATAACCCCTTTTATAAGAAAAAAAGATATCTAATAACATCAACAAAAATCCCTATGATAAAGTCCAGAAGCTGACCAATTATCTTAAGGCAAATGTCCATAGAGTCCATACACAAGGGGCTTGCAAAAAATTGCCTTCTTAAACTCCAACAGGTTATGGGCAGACCCTTTTAAAGGCTCGTACTAAGAAAAGGAACGAATTACTTCCATATATCCTTGCAAGAAAGCTTGCAGTATCTACAAAGACACTCGTAAATTCTTGTTATACATTCGATTTTGTTTGTTGTTTACTTTTATTTTTGGGAATACTAAAATGTAAAAATAAAACCTGTATTTTCTGAAGGACACATTTACTTATTACAATAAACCATTGTAATTCAAGATGTACTGAGAATTTCGGAATCGGAAATTAATATTGTTTGTTGTACTTTCAATTCCAAATGTGTTTTTCTATTCAACATAAAATGTCGCGGAGAACCTAACGGGTAACCGGGGCTTCGGCTCGACGTGCAGGAGTAGGAACGGGGTGGTTTTTAGTCAGTAAGAATCTGACACTCCCTTCCGCCTCACACAGGCGGAAGAAGCCATCCGAGATCCATTCTTAAAAAAAATTCAACATAAAATATTATTTAAAACAGTCTTCTTAGCATTTATTATAGTTTTTAATTGTTTTGCTGCACTAACTAACATTAGGAACGAAAGGGTATGAAATTTAAAAATTATATTTAGTACGTCATACCAGTTAGAAGGAAAGAAAATAAATCAATTATTTGCAAATAATGTAGGTACATATACGTTGAAATGTTGCTAATTGACTCAATACATTTTACTTACCTTTCGCAAATATTGTATGTATGTATTTGAATTTAAATTACAATGTGATATTTAATGTCATTAAGTATACAGTCCAAAAAATGTTGTATTTTTACGTCGTAAGATTTGATTTTTAAGATACTTAAATGGTCAAAATGTTACAATTAATAATAAACTGTACAAAAAAGAAATCATTAAATGTGATGCAATGTCATAACGCAGCTACTTAGTCCAAAATAATTATAACGTCAGTTAGATAATGAAAAATATTATACAAGTATTGTTTTTTTATTAAACCTTTATATCAAACGATATTTTATTATAAAACATTCTCCAGACTGTTTTGAAAAATGAGCGGTAAAGAGAAGAGTGAGGATACGCCCTTATCATGATATGGGAAATCCGTACCAAATGCCTTTAATCCCATCGGATAAGAGCAACATGAAACGCTTACGTGGCATTAAATGGCAGTGACGGCTCGTAAATATTATAAACCGAATAATACTATGTTAATTAACATATACATAGAGTTATGAAGACAGTCGGTTATCTTATTTACGGTTTTGAATGTATTGATTGAATTAATATTAGGAAATGGTAAGTCAATTTTTTTATTCCATGGCCCGTTGCTCCAAACTAGGATCTCCTGTGTCGTGGGTATCTTTAGAAACATACAATATCATATAGAGGTACTCATGACACCCAGACCCGAAACAATTTGTGGATCATAAAAAGAGTTGTTCCGTGCGCGAATCGAATCCGCTACACGTTGCGCGGCCACCGCGCCAACCGTGCAGTTGAAAACTCTTTGTAGTTATCGTCGTACTAGAACGAATTTATAAATATCATGAAAATAGAAAATAACTAATAGGTTCAAAAACTGGTAATTCCTATGGAATACAGAGATACCACAAAAATAATCAATAATATTAATACTAATAAGTATTTACCTACTTGTTGAAGGTTGGATGGGCTATTATGGACTACAAGCCTCTTTATCACACATATCGTAAAGGTATGTGGTTGATAGCAGAAGTACAAAATCTTTAAAGTAAATTGTTTGTTTTTTGAAACGAACACTTTTACCTACTCCATAAAATTTGATTAGGCTGGTGTTTCTTCACTGACTGCTCTAAGAAGAAAAACCGAAATAAGATTAACCAGATAAGATTCACGAAATATAATTATCTAGGATTTATGCACTGAATTCATCACTATTATAATTTTCAATCTCAATATAAAATTTACAGCACTGATTATAATGATTGCAATCACTGAACACTGAAATCGAATATTCATTGGCTAAGTAATTGTTCGCTCGGATTCCAAAACAAGAAGTTCTCGGGTACAATGAGCCATTGAAGCACGTCATTTGTATTTCTTTTGAAGTCAATTGTAGCCCCGTACTGACGATTTTTATGGCATACTAATAAATAAAACATTGTTAACACATTAAACGCCATGGGTGTCACCGGTGACCGACGACGTTAGCGGAAGATTTTGCCTTCGACAGTTTTATAATGGCAGTCAAATCGTAAAAAATATTCGCAGTTTCTATCTGAAATGAAATGTAATGAAAAGTGTTTTATTCGGCATATGGCATGAATGCCAGGAACAAAAAAAAGAATATACAATTTGACAAAATAACAAATAAAGGTTTAAAACAAGAGTAGCCAATAGCAGCGCGACATTCGCCACGTCGCGGGTCGCGAAATGCTGCTCATGAATATGCGCCTCTAGCATCGCTTGAAACTAGTCGAGTTTCTCGTCAATAATTACGTGAGTAAGCCGAAAACATAATAATTTATTAAGAGAGAGAGAGAGAGAGAGAGAAAAAAGATAAAAAGCTAAATTATAAAACTAAAACAAGATAATAAAAATAGATATAACATACTCCGCGATGTTGGCAGACATGCTCAAACCGAATGGGTCGCCAACTCAGCAAAAAGCTGGGCACAATGTGCTCATTGTGTCATGCACCCAACACTGATTTTCAGTTGGCACCCCTGCAGTGACGCACGGACGAAAGCAACACATGCTTGTAATCCGCATATGCCAAAATTTGATTTAATTTTGTGGGTTCCAGGTTCAGTCCAAATAACGAAGAGATAGATATTAAAAACATAACATCACGTCTTTTCTCCCCGAAGGGGTAGGCAGAGGTGCACATTATACCACTGTATAATGTAACGCCCACTGTTCACTATTTATGTTATGAGTCCCGTGTAATAGGGGTGAGCCAATGGCCATATACCGGGCACAGTTCCAGACTCCGTGCTACTACTGAGATTTTTTTAAAACCCCAGTAATACTTTGCCCGACCCAGGAATCGAACCCGAGACCCCTTGCACGGCAGTCGCACTTGCGACCACTCGGCCAACGAGGCAGTATTACACTGTCAAACACCAAGCGGTCACCGGTGACCGCAACCTATTGTTCTATAATAATGTCTATAATGACGGTACTCGACGAGTTCAATTAAAAACATTACTATAATATTATCTCTAACCACCAAATAAAGTAATAAACCCCTAATAAAATAATATTACGTTGAAAATACCTTATCAAATATTAAGAGGGTGACATACATAATAATGTATATAATGCATATACTGACAATATACTCATATAAGATAACAATTAATCCGGGATCAAGGCGGTAGGTTCATCTCGACCGACGGATCAATTAGTCAATAATCCGCTTACAGGCATTAATGTTTAGACTGTACGGGGTTATTCACATTGAAAGCGATCTTGGATGAAGTCATAATTAAACTATCGTAATACCGGATGGAGCTGTGGTTAAGAATGTGTTTTGGGTAATTAATTTGTTTTAGAAATGTATTTTGTTGCTACGTTCTTAGACTGGCTCTGAGGCTGAATCTTAAAGCCTTAGAATTCATCAACAAATCGTGGTTGTAAAAGCAAACATCATAACATCACGCCTTTTATCCCCGGAGGGGTAGGCAGAGGTGCAAATTACGACGCTTAATGCCACTGTACAATGTACCTTATGTTATGGGTCCCATGTAATAGGGAGTGAGCCTGTTGCCATATACCAGTCACAATTCCAGATTCCGGGCTACTAGTGAGTTTTTTTAAAAACCCCGTTAAACTTTGCCCGATCTGAGAATCGACCTCGAGACCCCTTGCCTGGCAGTCACACCTGCGACCACTCGGCCAACGGGGCAGTTTTTAAATATATTTAATTTTATTCTATTCATCAATATTAAATAAATAAAATAACTTAATATTAAAAGTAACTTGCATCATTAAATCACCTTTTAATTTTAAAAGATTACAGCGTTATGTAGCGGATAGGTACAAAAAATAATTAAAGTCATCTTTCAAATAAGCCATATCGTAATTTCGATCTTTCCTACAATTTTCCTAAAGCTACAAAATAGTATTGCTAAAGTTGTAAATATGAAGGTACCTAATTCTGAGACCCACATTATTTTGGACTTAGACTTTAATTCTATGGAGAACCTAACGGGTCGCGGAGAACTTAACGGGTTACCGGGGCTCCGGCTCGACGTGCAGGAGAAGGAACGGGGTGGTTTTTAGTCAGTAAGAGTCTGACACTCCCTCCCGCCTCACCCAGGCGGGAGCAGTCATTCGACGATTTTTCCCCGTTAAAAAAAAGACTAATTCTATAGTCTACTAGACAGAGGTATCTAACGTAGATAGTATAACTTCTTACAAGTAATTATTTACGGTTTCAACACCCTGTATAAAATCAGAACAAATTATTTATATGAAATATTGTATTTTTCGGCTCACTCAC